AGTCAGTAGCTATCTCATCAGAAAGTCCTATCTTGGATAAAGCATTCACAAATTCAGGGTGAGATTCGAGAAGCTCAATGGGGAGAACTTTGCCGCATTTGACAAAGGCACTGGTGGTATCACGTCCTGTAAATGCATGAAGGGCTGGCTGGACATTGCACAGAGTGGACCCTTTCAGATTGATGATACTTTGTACATCCAGAAGTCTTCGTTTGTCACCAGTGCCTTTGTCAAATAGAACAGAAGTTTTCACCGTTTGAACAACCTTCAGAAGCAGAATCAACACATCTGTATCATCTGATTGTATCACAACTTGTGCAGCAGAAGGATGCTTAGCATCAACATGCAAAACGTGAAGAATGATTCTAGTTTCCGCTTCTTCCTGTGAAGAAAGCATTCACAAAGCATTCTCTGGAGTGACAGATACTGATTTGCCATCTGTGGTCATCAGCAAAAAACACTCTTCATCTTTCATAAAGAAGACATTTTAGAGCTATTGAAACAAGAATACCTTCTTAAAACAATTGCCCACTAGAAAGTGTAGAAAAACAGCTATAAAGTTTAATTTTTCCGTTAGACGCAATGCATTTTTCAAAGTAAATGTCTTCCTGTACCTGTTACTTACCAATAAACTTTAAATATTTTTATGGTTCCTGATAGAAAGCAGTTATTAGAATGTATTTTGTGAAAAAACCAAAACTAATTTTCCCAAATTTTTCCCACCCTGACCCTCTTTGGGGGGTCACTGCGGGAAAAATCCCCTGCACCCAGCCTGCAAACACCTGGAATTTGAATGTACATATGATAAGCTTTCAAAAAAATATAGTCTTCAAAATTCCCCCAGGGGGAGAGGGTCACCTATATCAGCCCATGGACTATCAATAATTAAAGTGGTAACAGTTGGGTCTTCTGATATTACTGTAACATATGCTTCCACAAGTGCCAATATCACGTTTGGGGTTGGGATTCGTGTGACTGCAAGTTGGTTCTCATAACAGTACCTGGGAAACACAAAGGTCAGGACGCACTGGATACTGCCATGGTGCCAAATCTTGTTAACTTTGCCAATCGTCATATATTCATGGATGACAACGCTGGGCAGTTTCGTGCCTTCATCACCCTTTTTTGATAATAATTAAATCGAAACATTACCATGGCCCACAAGGAGACCCGGTATAAACCCCATGGAACATCTTTCGGACTATGGTAGATGCCAAGTTCGAGCTCGACCTTATCCTGTTAAAAGTGAGGAATTGAGACATACACTGAATATCGGGAATGACAGAGGAATCAGATGCTAATGATACAGTAATATGTTACCATGTTTCAATTGCAGTTTTGTTTTTGTTGAAATCAGAGTAAAATGTGTTACAGTTGCCATTCTAATCCATGTAATTTTTGTTTTCAAAGCATATGCATGAACATGTGTTCGTACTCACCTTAAAAAAGTGGGTTATTGCACGATTACTGCTCATGGATATATCTCATAATGGCCTTGAGCGTGAAGTCCAAATTCAATATCGTAACATATCATTTGTTGCATTAACTGTCACGGGGACTGTAAGCGAAGATGATTAATGTGTCACCATTAATGAGTTTTAAATTTCTAATAGAATATTACATAAACTTAGTGTATTATCATCAACCATCTCGGAAACCAAAACCTCATAATATAATTATGCTGAAATGAGACTTTCTAAAGGAAGCGTATAGAAACAATTGTATGTGACATTGAAAAATCGAATTAGGCAAAATTGGCACTGAATTGCAATAATTTAATTGTTTTTAAAAAAAATATTCAACAATAAAAATGCGGTTCAATAATGTTTACTGAAATAAAATAATTTAGAAATAATGACTGCTCCCGTGCGAAGGACAGGTCTGGATTATCTGCCGATAATAACTGACCGATTTTATTGTTGAAAATATCCAAAACTGTAACTTATGAATTCTTGCCCTTGAGTTCATTGCTAAACAGTACGTGCATTTTCAGTCAGTATTGATCAGATGAACCCATAACATATTTATCTTCGTCATGGGACTCATCGAACAACCGTCTGCTGCCTGACATTTTGGATGGAAGGAGCATTTATATTATTGTGGGGTGTTTTAAACTAATGTAAAATAACTATTTCTTCTCTTTTCCTGTACCTGTAAACATTTAATTGTGAAATTATTCGTTGGAATGATTATGATTGGCAGACTATGTAAATAGAAACATTGAAAATAGTACGGCAATTTTTGTCTCCTGCTTATGCACACACGAAAAAAAAGTTTGTGTGATTCGATTTCTAAAAATATTTCAGAAATGTTCTTGAAAATGATGACCAACTTTTGTGCTTTTACCGTTAAATGCACATTTTTAATGGAAACTTTATCTTAGTCGCTTCACTGTCACAGCTGATTGGATATATGAAACTTAACATTGATATGGTAATGCTTTCTTTTTCCCTATTCCCTTTTTCAGGACAGTCAGTGATATTTGCAAACAATATCGGGAGCTGCTTTCCTATTCAAGTTAAAAGATCCCAACCTTAAAGACAATGAAGTAAGGTAGAAGCGTGTGTACATTTCATTCCTGAATGTGGTGCGGTTGGGTAGCCAAGCTGGAATGGATAAAGGGTTCGCTGGTCACTCCGGGTTCGATTTCCAACAAGGGTACACCGTTTAAAAACCTTTCTTTGTGTCACCCGCCCTAATAATGCTATCACATTGCTAAAAGTGAAAAAAACCCTGTACTCACTCATTTCTGAGACCCGTGAAGGTCCGGGTTAGAATTGATCTTCAGTAACCCATGCTGGTCGTAAGAGGCGACTAACGGGATCGGTGGGCAGGCTCACTGACTTGGTTGACAGATGTCACCGTATCCCAATTGCGTAGATCGATGCTCATGATCACTGGATTTCTGGTCCAGATTTGATCATTTACAGACTGCCTCCATACAGCTAGAATGTTGCTGAGTGCGGCATAAAACTAAACACACTCACTCGCTCTCTCGTTTCTGAATCTAAGAAATTAGAACAGTGTCAACATGACAGGTGCACTTAAACATCAGCAGTGGGAATACAGGCGAACTTGCAGGTAAGTGCCTTAAAGTTTGGCTTTTAATTGGCATATTTGTAAATACACGAACACCTGCGATTTTATCACACTTTATACGTACGCCAATCATATTATCTTTACTGGACATCAGATCTGAGCAGCTGCTGTTGCTAACGGAGTTTCAAGAACGTGATTCAAGGGTCAGTTATCACGCACAACGAAATAACTAATATTACCCCTCTCCGGGGGTAGTTTTTTTACAAATCTGGTTTAAATTATTTGCATATCAACAATTGTTTACTCGAGACCGGGTGTTGAAACCAGCTGAAAGACTCATAACGTGTGCCCGGTACTCCACAAAGTGCTATGTGATTTGTTAGAAAGATGTTTGGTTTTTTATATTTATTAATATAAGCTATAAGATGGCCATATTTGATACAATGTGGACTGGAAATAGACATCACCTGAAGGCTACCGTAAATATACTCTGTTCGTTACTAGGGCCTTGTTCTAGCTTCCTGTAGTTAATTATGCCAACACTTCTGAAACATATGCTCCTTATGTTGTAAATAAACATTTATTGCAGATTTTCTGCATCATTCTAGATTTCGTGGTGTTTTCAGTCAAACAACAGGCACAACGCTATTCTTCATGTGAACTTGGTTCGTTCTCCTCACACCACAAGTTAATGGAGCGTAAAGAAACCTCGGTAATCAGTTTAGTGTCAAATGATCTATTTGAATCAGCTTACTGACGCCTGTCTTATGTGTAATGACGTCATTTAAACAATGAGTGACGTCATGACGGTAAGAAACGCAATCAATTTGAAATTAAAATGAAGAAAACCTCCACGTCGCCATGTCCAACGTCACGATAGTTAGCATTGAGGAAATGGAGGAGTAGTGGAAGAAAATGCGTAAATAGGAATATATGTATCAATTTGATGTAAATAAGATTTTAACTCGTTACCTTACGCAAATAGTATTTTTAATGGATTAGCATTATTTACTCTCTCTTTGACTGAAAAGTTAGATTATATCACTTTGGTGTAATGTTATATATCATGCAACTTCTTAGATCTCTAACTGCAGACACATAAGCCTTTCGTGTATGTGAACTCATACAAAACTGTAAAGGTGTTATGGCTTCAGTTTGCGGGTGCACATTCTTTACAACGACGTCAGTAAGCAAGTCACGATTGACCTGTATCTAGTGCAAAAGTTCCCTGACTGCAAGCCCCGGTATAGCTTGGCCCAGATGCACATAAATATTTCCTTCTTACCCACACGAGCAGTTTGTTTCGGGTGTTACCATGAGAGTGTTACAGTTTACTGACGTTGCAAAGATAAGTACCGATTTCGTGATCCAGCAATACAAAACACACACCTGTACCTTTAGATAGTAAGGTAATAAAGTGGTGTTAGTGGGTGAACACACTGACACCTGTCACTGGTCAGTAGAAAGATCAGACTCAATGTGTGACCCGCTGCAAACTTGAGACATGCAGTAGCGAGTTTGTTTGGGGGCACATCAGTAACAGGCAGATAGTACAGTGTGCATACTTGTCCTAAGTGTGCATGCAGATAGTATTTGTATAACATCAACCTTTACCTGATTTGTACATGGACCGAAATCGCACAATAACTACACACAGTTAGGATACTGTAATCTAATTCCGCATAAAAAGGTCACCACTATGCTAAACGTTTTGCATTAAATTTCATAACTATTTGGTATTTTCCACAACACGCTTTAATTTTTGTGACCTACATTTTCTCAAATTCCTTTTTTTTCACTTTGATACAAAGTTCAAGGCTTTTCATGTACACAAACCCCCAAAACAAGGATTTAATATAATTCATGCACTTTTCCTATTAGTGTGAGAATGCAACACACATATTTTCCGTCTGTGTGGAATGTTTTGCATTGTTTTCACCAATCAATCACATAACAGGATATATACAACATAATGTCTTTATTGACTCTACTACGTTAATACACAAACTGTAAACACACGTGTATTATTTTGTGACACAAAATACTGATGAAAGACTGAAAGTTTAAGCGTTGTGTTCACACTCCAGACAGAAATTCCCTATACTATGCACCCATGGAGATGACGACAAACGTTGTGATGAAGGTGCTTGGCGGCCACTTCCAACACCCTATTAAAGTGCAGGTGTGACGATCTCCTGCGGGCTGTAGAGAGATGTTAGGACCACAGAAAACAGTACCATCGCGTCTATATGTAAAATGGGCCCTGCAATAAAAAAACCCGTCATATTAGTATTGCAAACACAGATATCATACATATCTAAAAACAACAACCGTAACAGAAGAAATAATACAGACCCTACAAAGAAGTGAAGATGTCTATTTTGCACTAAAATATATCGATATGTTGATTTGCCTTTTCTTTGTTAACTAGGAAACGACGCGATGTTCTTGACGAGCAATGGTTTGCTTAATGAATACAAAATGGATACACAATGCCATTTAGAAAATGGTTAAATGAACGTATGTTCTATTTGGGACGACACTTTCTCAGTAAAGTATGGTTCTACTTTTATATTTTTGCTATGTTACATTTACATATGAATTTTACATTTTATATAAACTGAATAAGTAGATCCACGTTTACCTGTGTTGTGTGAAAGAGCTTCGGAAGCAGCCATTGATGATGCCTTGGTGAAATGAACGGTGTCTATGCATTGTCTTCCCAATAACTTGTACCCGGTTAGGCACCCTGTACATCTCCCACCCTGGGTGCAAGAGGAACACGGCCACTGAAGTGTATACTGGCACCGGCGACCGAACATCCCATCTATACACCCGTGTGTGCAAGTGCCGTCCATATCACAGGTCAGGTTGTTGCAGGACAGACTGCACTCGTGACCACATGCTGCACCAAAATGTCCTGGTGGACACTGGATGCATTGTCCCGTCTCTCCATCACAGGTCCGACAATAGAAGGGACACTTGATATGACATGTTCGTCCTGTCCATCCCCGGAGACAACCCAGTAGGCATTCTCCGTCGCTGTCATGTATTCCTCGAATACAGTTTAATTCCTGATCACAATGCAGTCCGATCCAACCCTCTTCACACCCATCCACACAGGAACCATCATCGCTGAAGCATCTGGAGTCTTTACAGTTGCTGCTACAGCGTTTGTTGCAAAGGTCCCCATGCCAGCGTTCTTCACACCCTTCCAGACATCTGCCCGTGTCTCGATGGCACCGACGGAGTTTATCCAGCCCCGTATTACAGTTGCTGTTACATTGCAGGTTACACCAACGGCCATGGAACCCTGGAGAACATTCGTCACATCTTCCAGAATTCTTGTCACATCCCGTTGTGTGGCAGTTTAAACACTTCCTTTCACAATATTCTCCATAAAACCCTGGTAAACACCTTGCTTTGCACTTCCCGTCTGACCCACACATTCCATGAACACAGTTCGGACAATCGGGGGTCGAATCTGTGCAGTATGTTCCCCACCAGCCGTCTCTGCAGCCGTACGAACAGCGACCTGTTTCCTTCAGGCAAATCGAATTCTTACAGTTTGGGGGACACCGCCGGTCACATCTCCTGCCGTGATACCCAACTCTGCAGCCTTGTAAACACACTCCAGTGTCTCGGTCACAGTCTTCATACCCATTGGATGTGCAGCCTCGGGGACAGCGGTTCTGGCAGCTTCCGCCGTAGTAGCCTGGTTTGCATCTGTAGCAGACCCCGGTCATTCTGTCGCAGCCGCTGATGTCACATCGCCTGCAGTGGCGTGTACAGTTGACTCCATAGCAACCATACTTACATTGTTGACAGTAGAGTCCGTTCAGTAGACTCCGACACCCAGTCTTGCAGTATTTGCCATGGTAGTCATCTCTCGACTCTGCCTCTGAAACAAAAACAAACTACTCATAACCATTGTCATAAGCATCGGAAACCTGATCTGTAGAAGAACAATTACAGTGCAACTATGGACATTGTTTTATTTCTCCATAAAAAACAATTTAAATCATCAGAGAGTGAGTGAGTGAGTGAGTGAGTGACGTTACCTGTAGCACTGACAATAGCGAGGAGGATGACGGCACGAATCATTTTCCTCCTCCCGAACGACCATCAGCAAGCTTTCGGCATATGAATATAGATAGTAAGGATCTAGGGTTTCCCGCAGACTTCATACAACGTCTTCCTTGAGTCACTTGTATACACATATCATAATGCATTTGAATTGTCACTGGTGTACGCCTACTTGTCCAGCACATGCAGGGACAGGACTGGTGAGCCTATCTATAGTGCCTAGTGGAAAACTCCTCTGACATAAGCGATAAAAAGACACACATGCTATCTTTAGCCAGGAGCTCAAGCTTAGATACACCTGTTACAAGTGTTGGCCTTGTCACACAACATATCAGAGAAATTTCATCTCTGTTAGTTATCGAGCACAGCCCAGCATCCAAAGTCCCCCTGAGCTTGATGTACTTTGTGTCCCCGTGTCATTGTACAGACCTGTATGTTCACGTTGAACTGTTCCCGTTACCTGTCAACGGTCTTGCTAATCTGAGATTTAATTGTCACATTGCCAGTATTTGTTTATGATTTGCGTACAAAATGAATACCCAAATTAATAAGATTAATGTGCATACTTACATCTGTATGCACAGTTGATTATTTCTTTGTCCTAAATAGTTTGTATGCACCCACGTGTTTCTGGAAATATTTTGAAACATATATTCAAATACTGAATAAACAGAAATAGCATATCATGTTTGTTGCGTGACGGTCCGTCCTTTTTATGTGTCTGTATCGTATTATCAGTACAAAGACAATAATGGTGGACCCTGTAGGTAGAGCTGCATGACTACTGGATGATTTCTGGGGAATGCTATATTTTCCCGGGGAGCAGGTGAGGTACTGCACGTAGGCTGCAGATAACTATAGCTCCGCCCATTATGTACAACGCAATAACATCACATGCTAGGCCTTGAACTTTGTCACCGTTGAAGTAGTTTTGTCAGTTACATTACCCCAAATAGTATTTTTATGGAACTTTCGACCAAATTTGCCAATGGGTCGTTAGTTTAAATATCACCTATGAACACTATATTAGGTAAAGACATAATCTTCGGTTCCTCTCGTTTAATACACATACATAGACATTTCTACATTCCATACAGTTCACAGAATAATATGTCGAGATCATCTCAGGGCCACAAGCAAGGAAGAATAGCGAGTCTCAGTTTCATAGTACACTAATTATTCACATAACACCTTCCCAGGTGTACAGATAGGTACATGATCCAAACAGTCAGGGGTCCTTTTGTATCGCAATGTAAATAAAACAGGACAGTAAAAAATATCGATAAAAATAAAATTCCTGCACTTAACTGGTTATGTATGGTGCTATATTTCTTAAAGACTGTATGCCAGGGACCGTAATATAAAATGACAAAAGTCCTTATAGGTATCATCATTTGGCCTTGTACCCTTTAAACAAAACCCATAATACTATGATAGGTATTCGTCAGAAAAACTAAGCCAATGTAGATTACCAACAATCAACTGTCCGAAGTATGACACTTCCTCTGTGAACATCATTTATACCATAACGATTGTTTGCTCGCTTGAAGCTAGTCACATCGGAAGTTAAAGAAATGCAAAATGATCATTTTCATTTGTCAAAGAGTTCAGTCACTGGTCCGTTTTTGCTAATCTGGCCTGTGGCCTTTGACTTCAGTGTACAAGTTTGCCGAAAGATCTGGTCACATGGTTGGCCATGGTAATGTCTTGCTCCTGGAGGCAGTTAGTTACCATACGTGCATGATAGCAACGAGGTTTATCGTGTTCTGAAAGAAAACGTATAACGACCGATACAGTGAAACGACCCAACTACTGGCGCCAATCTGCCGTCTCGGCAACTTGACTCTTTCACGGAGAATATAGTGGCGATCTGGCATTCCTAGTGATCCCACCACCTATCGATGGACAAGTCCCGAAATCTGCCATGCTAACATGAGATTGGTAAAGACGCCCCCAGACACGTCCCAGAAAGTACGGAAGGAAGTTAGACTCATTTTCTACGCCAGTCATTTGTGGCTACAATTAATTAATGCGTTAACGGTGGTTCATCATATTCAGTTGAATTGTCTGGTCAGTAAGCTGAACACTAATACCTAGGAACTGATTAGCTGTTTGTTTTCCTAAAGACTGATTTCTGTTTAATCGATCCTATAACTGTGTTGTTGACCTAGGGTATCCCGTTCATGGGACCATTAACATCCTGTGTCTGCAGAAACCTGTTCCAAAGTCTGCAAACCACAGACTGTTGAGCATGACCACCTCTCGCCTCGACGAGGTTTCACCTCTGGATTGAATGTTTTGGACATCGATGACTGCCGAGTAAACCATTAGTATAGGGAACAGGAGCACGGCTTTCTTGCACAAGGTCCAAGTGTTGAAAATGCCCCTTTTCGACCATGAAGTAAATTGACCAACTAAATACAAAACTATCCAACACATAAATGGCAAAGGCCCTAACTGCTGCAATCAGTAGACTAGGCCAAATTTGCAAAATTAGGATAATTTGTCCTCTTGCGAACAAACAAACCTTGCTAACTTTGTAATTACACCTCAGGGCCTCTAGAAATATATGCCAACCTAGCTGAAGTATCAGTCCCGTGAGTAACAAATGGAATTTCAAAGTGATCGCATGTTGATACAATGTCTGACTCCCCTGGAAAGGAGAGAGACAACCATCGATGATGTTATTCAGCCTATGAAATGAGGACCTCACCTACATCTGCAGCGCATTGTTGCTCAAGTTCATACTACCTTTAACAAAACAATTAATAAAATGTGTCCTATATGGTAGTATTTTCTGGTCGTAATATGCTAACTGTCTGACTGACTGACTTCAACTTTGGTTTTACTCCGCTTTTAGCAATATTCCAGCAATATCACGGCGGGGACACCTGAAATTTCACTCACACATTGTACCCATGTGGAATTCGAACCGGGTCTTCGGCATGACGAGCCAACGCTTTAACCACTAGACTACCCCACCGCGCCATAATATGCTAACTAATTTCTCAACGTCTAATTAGACTTTGCAAATAATTGAAACAATTAACAATTAAAACAACAAATATATTTATTTTAACAGACAACAGAATGGACAAAAACAGTTAACTTATAACATAACTCTTTAACTTTTGCACAATCACACGAATTAAAATACATGTCAGCGATGATAATCATCGTCAAATGTCCAGGTAGATGGCACAATATCGCAAACAATGTTGCTTGAATATCTATAAACAATGCAACATATAACGATCTGTCTTGAATAGCTGAACTGTTTTTGTAAAGTCGAAACGGAAACTGCCACGACATTAGATCTGAATGCTGAAAGACATTTTGGCGCAATACTGCACTCCTAAACAGTGACCGAAACAACTGAATATAATGAAACTTATCTTCTAGCAACGCCAAGTCATAGCGCATGCACAGATAAGTGTTTAGAAAATGCAGAAAAATGTTTTAATTGAAATCGCGTATGCTTCACGGAATCTGCCCGCGAGGATGTATAATGTTCAGATACTGTTGGGGTACATCTGCCGTCTTCAAGGAAGTGTCCTCCTCTGCACCTTGTACACGCCCCCGTTGTCTGGTCGCATCTCTCGCAGTTCTCGCTACATGGGTATTGACACCGAGTTCCGTACGTCAGATCTCTACACTCAAAACAGTTGCCATCTCTGTCACATGTGTGATGCAAACAGGTGTCACTGCATTTATCATCACAGTCAGGACCATGATAGCCATCAGAACACCGTGAACAGTGCCCAGTGTCGCGAAGAAATGACTCACACAGTGCTGGGCAAAGTCGCCGACAGTCTTCTCCAAACCAGCCATCTTTGCATTCCGTACAATGACCATGGTAGTCACAAGTGTTGTTTTTACAGTTTTCATGACTGCATCTCTTGTGGCAGTGTTTGCCATAGAAACCTGGTACACATCCATCTACACAGGAACCGTCACGTCTGTAACAACGGGCAGCTGTACAGGAGGTGCTGCACGGTGTATTGCAATGAGACCCGTGCCATCCAGGTTCACAGCCCTCGAGACAAGCCTTGGTGTGACGGTCACAGTTTCTGTAACCCTCCCAGCCTTTATAGCAGGTTTCAGGACACGTCTCGGCGCAGTGGGAGCCATGGTAACCAGGATGACACTGTTCACAGATTCCGGAACCTCTGTCACAGCCAGTAGTCCAACAGTGTTGACATCCCCTATCACAGTTTTGTCCGAAGAAGCCCGCTTTACAGCCCAAGAGACAGTAGCCCTTATCGTTGCATCTTCCCATCAGACAGTTGTCACATGTTGTATTACAGTAATCTCCTGTCCAGCCTGTCTCACACCCGGCGATACACTGTTTTGTTTGCTTGTTACAGGTTTGATGTTTGCAGTTGAGCGGACACGATTCATTACAGTGTGAACCGCTCCATCCTGGTCGACATGCTTCAGAACACGCACCTGTGTCTCGATCACAGTAGGCATTCCCGCCTATCACACTGTTGGCGCATTTAAGTGGACATGTTTGGTCGCAGTCTCGTCCGTACATCCCTGGTCGGCATCTGAAACACTGGCCAGTTTGTCTGTTACAGCCGTCTGTATCGCAGCGTCCATGACATGTGTAGCTGCATGTTGAGCCGTAACACTCAGGTTGACATGACTGACATGGTAGACCACCGTTACCATGGAGACAGCCATCGGTAGAACATGAACGTTGACCTGTATGTACAAAATATAGTTTTTGTGTGGGCAATACCAACACTGCAGATGGTAGCTTCTTTAAAAGTCAACCTTGTTATAATTTGATGTAGATATCGCTAAATCTTCAAAATGAGGAAGAAATATGATACCAAAGTGACCATTACTTCATTAGCATATATTTAGACACTAACATGTACATATTCATATGAGATTAGAGCATTCTGTTTACAAGAAATAATCTGTAACATACATGTCCCCCGCGTACGAATTACAGTTCACCATGTACAACATACGTTCCCCTTGAACTCGATATGGATCAAGGCACACATACCTTCCACTTTCAATGTAACCGTTGCCAGGGTTGCCACAGTCACCAAAGTTGCCCACTCAATTCGATTCATATTGTTAAGAATCTGTTAATGTATAGTGGTAGAAATAACATTTGAATGAAATGAAAGTAAATTTCATTACATCATGTTTACTTCCAGTCAGAAAAAGTCTGAACTTAATATCGAAACTTATGCACGCACAGAAGATGAATGGTACACGATTTGCAATTCTATTTCGTGAAGAATGTAAGTTCGTCATGTAAGCCTTGTTCAAAGACACCTCAAGGGCTGCTCATTCCCTAATTCTTGTACGTATATAATTCTATATATACACCCTACGTTGTTTTGTTAAAATCAACTCATTTGTTTTCTCTGAAGATTGAAAGTGTACTATATGATATTTCAATGGGTGGATGGTAGACCAAAATGTTGTGTTTTATGCAAAATGTACAGTTAATGATTTTTATAAGTAGTATTTGCATTCTTTCTGACTGACCACAAAGCGCATTAAACGTAAAAGCACCCATCTTTTCAGGTCCGCCATTAATGATAATTCAGCACAGACATTCGCTCTCCAGATTGTTTTCGTGTTCAGATGTCAGTACATTGATATACTTACTTACCTGATATTTGATCATACCATTTCTCATACACACCTACTGGCTTGTATTCCATTAATCTATGTACATACCTGAATACTGATCGGAGACGCTCTAGACGGCTGTGCTACATACACCCAGGCATGTCGTTGTGATATGAACACGCAATATACCTGTATGTATCTACACGCTCGTATTGCGTAACATCCAAATACCTCCTTTTGGTTTTTCCAGTCCCCAGTAGGCTTGGCTAATTTCCAAGTGTCGTGACGTGAGTATCTGGTGACCTGTCAGTGAGGCTTCACAGTGAGATACACCGATAACCTCTGCTTGATGTCCTTGACTTGTATACATGTATATATATAAGTACAAAATGCTTTTCTGTAAATATATACTGAGTCAAAAAAAAAACTTCACAAAATGTAATTTGAAAAATAATGAACAATGTTTCTCTGATGATACATCTATGTATCCGAAATGGGATCCCTATTTTTCGACTCTAGAAAAACGTTAGCAAAACCCACTCAAACCCATCCGTTCGTCGTGCAAATGACGTTAGTGCCAAATCAGGTTTTGCACGTGCAGACGATCACGTGATCTTCGCATCGTAGTTTTCTTCATATGCACGTGTTTGCATTGGCCTCAAGAATTGAAAAAACACTTTTAAACCACAGTTCTAATGGTACTTGAAATGCCACGATTGTCAAATGTGCAATGTGAACGTACCGTTGGCATGTTGCAAGTGCGAAGATCAGTTATTGACGTCGCAAGAGCAATGGGATGCAGCCGTCGTACTGTGTATGACTTGCGAGGTCGTCTACAACAAACTGGCACCACTTCTGATCGCCCAAGGTCGGGTCGTCCACGTGTGACGTCACGAGCAGAAGACCGTCAAATCGTCCTACGTCACCTACGTGACAAATTTCTGCCGGCTACACGAACCAGGGCTGAGATGTTTAGAGGTCGACTGTCCTCACAGACCATTCGAAATCGGTTGCGGGCTGCCAATCTCCATTCTCGACGTCCATATCGTGGGCCAATATTGACGCCGTTTCATCAACGTCAACGTCTGCTGTGGGCCCAACGTCACCTCCGATGGACCCAGAGAGACTGGAATCGAGTCGTCTTTAGCGATGAATCCAGGTTTACCCTCAGATTCGCGGACGGCAGGCATAGAGTCTGGAGACGACGTCGTGAACGGTATGCCCAATGTTGTGTACAGGAAGTCGACAGATTCGGGGGCGGAAGTTGCATGGTGTGGGGTGCTTTCTGTGGAAGCAACCGTTCCCGACTTCTGGTCATCCGTGGAAACCTCACAGCTGCTGCTTACCGCGACCAGGTGCTCACCCCTGAACTCGTTCCTTTCATGGCGGCTCATGGCCCAGGTCTACAGTTCCATATACCGCGATGTTGACACGAAATTTCCTTCAAAACACTGGAATCAACGTCATGGACTGGCCATCGAGGTCCCCTGACCTTAATCCAATAGAGCACGTTTGGGATGCACTTGGGAGAAGGCTTCGTGGTGTTAGGAACCAACCTCAGAATTTGCAGGAACTTGGCGCTGCCTTGCAAGAGCAATGGCGCAGAATCCCTAACCACGTGTTCACAAGCATCTGGCAGTCGATGAGGAGACGGTGTTTGGCAGTGGTGAATGCGCGGGGCGGCCATACACGATACTGAACTGAGAAATTTCGCATTTTTACTCATGTGACTTGACATTCTGTATACCCCTGTTTTGGAACGGCGGTGTAGCCTAATGGAACTGATTATGGCACTGTCAGTGTATCGAGTACTTCACACAGATCTCAGCAAAGAAATGATAACAATTTAACCATCTTACCATCACTTGTTCTTTTATAGTGCCCTGAAGTAAGAATGTGAAGTTTCTTTTTTAACTCAGTATATCTCTTAAGTTATATCTAATGTTTTATACCTGCATACCTAAAGCAGTATGAGAATTACAGCAGATTCCGTATTTCGATTACCAATATGACTCAGAACTGATAACCTTTGGCTCATGACCAAGAACTGTTAAACACATAGTGGAAACAGAAAGTCGGGAATAAGAGAAAGATAAACATTGAGATATGAACTTGGCTAAAACTGTTCGTGAGTCGAAAACACGACAAGGTCGTAAGAGGAAGGTTACGAAATACGTGAAAAGGGGAGTCACTGAACGGTGCTGTCCGAGACCCCTCTAATTATAATACACATGAATGAAAGGACAGATACAGTTATTAACAAATCAAAACGATATGTTGAAATATGTGATCAAGATAAGGTCAGGCTCGTCCCATTTAAAAAGGCATGTTTGGGTGCTAAAAGAGAGAGAGCGAGAGAGTGCAGCGAGTGCGGAGAGTACTAGCTCAACATTTCGGAAGCCAATCCATTTTACTAAGTTCCCCGTAGGATACGAGGGAACTATTATAGTTAAAGTACGAGGACGCTTGCGTCCTAGTGCTTTACGTGATAATAGTTCAGGGCGAAATTAAGAATCTAAATTAATACCTAAATTCAGAATCCTCGCACTGGGCTAACTGGCGCGTTGTTCTATTGATGTGTCTGCCCGCCTACGTTAAGACGAACGTTACCAGAAAAAAAAAAAAATGATAACAGTTTGATAACGGTTTACGTTCGGATTAAATATCTTCTCTGAATTATTTTAATTACATCTGTCATTAACGTAAACCATATGGGGCAAAATGAACGTCGCATTTCTACTACCAACGTAAGTTTAAATCAGTACATCCAGATGAAGCTGAGTAGTCAAGCGACATTCCACGATTGCATTGTGGGAACGTAAACATTGAGAACGTTACCGTGTCGCTGAAAACATGTGTGTCGAATTGACACATTATAACCGTCGTAAAACTTAAACGTAATATTTCCACCAGTGATGTTAGCTGCGTGAAGCAACTGCAAACCTAGAAACGGGATGCAACGGAGTCGTTTACTGTAGGAGGCCGTACGAGGCGATGACAACTGACATGCATCGTGACGTCGCTTACATTGTGACGTAATGTAAAATGGTTCGATTACGAGGGGGCACACTAGAATGGCGCAGTGACGGGATAAGGTCATTCAATTGTTACGTCATCAAAAAAATATACCTTTATTGCCTGATAATATATTTTTGTTCGATTGTTCTAACCGCTAGGCATCTTAGAAAGAGTATTAGTATCTCTGATTATTACAATTGCAGTGCATGTCATAGCATAATTACGTCATCAGGTTCATGAGGTCATAGAATTGTCAGGGCATTATACAAAATCTGCTGTCAAAACGATATCTCCTGGAGATACGTATTATCTCACACAAGCAATATCTCCTGTGGAACACAGTTTTGGATGATAAAATGTTTTATTGTGGGGGAAGTTATAACTACATGTGAGAGTTTATCAGAAATACAATCAACGTTGACGTTTCATCAAGTGAATAGAAAGTTACAAGGGACTTTAGCAAAGATTGAGAAGATGATGAAAATGTTTTTTTTTGGCCATGTGTGTTCACCCAAAAGTGTTTTCGGAATTGGAGTGATATCCTAAAACAATGCGTTTAATACAAAGGTGTGTGCCACGAAGCAGTGACCCAAAATACCTTCTTACAAGCAATGTTGTGTGATAATGTTTAATTGGGTGGGAAGTTATAACTACATGTCAGTTTATCAGAAATACAATATAACGCCGGTTTAGCATTGTTTCAGTTGTATGGTGACGAGTGAGGCAACTGGGGGGGCGAAGACCCAAGTAATGTAGGTCGAAGACGTCTACTGTTTGTCAGCTACCTACAAGCACAGGCTTAGTGATGACAAACATGCAAACACAATCAAGGCTAACCTGGATTCTGGTACGTCAAAGGGAGGTAACAACGCTGCACAGCGAACAGCTGTACCTGAGATAACTGGGCCACTCGTCCCACCTATGTTGTCAGTGTGTATTTCCCGTATTGTTCTTTCTTAAAGACACTAATCTGTGATATATCTAACCATACTTGAAATGGCAATGGGGAGACCCAGCCTGATCCTATATATCTCAATAACGTCTACGAGCTATAAAAGAATAAGTAGGTTATTTATTTACATATATGTTTCAAACTTTGGCTACATGCCAAACTTCCTTCTTAAAGGTACGCCTTTCTAAGAAATCTGTCATGCCATGTTTACTTTGAAAAGCGATGCACAATGCACTTTGTCACAGTCTATATCTTAGTGTACAGGATATAGGATTGAAACACGTAATGCACATGTATTGCTCCTCCAACAACCCGTGCTGAACCAGATAGGGTAAACCCCCAAGTATGTATCGTGATAACCGCTTAGTTCAATGGTATGTCACCGTACTACAAATCTCTCTACTAAATCAAATCTTACATAATGTAAATATAATCATAAAAAGTATAGAAACTCAACCAAATTTAATACCCGACACTCACTAAACCAAATCCCATAATGGTCACTGCTTGTGCAATCTGGGGTAACAATCTGGGGTAACAATCTGGGGTACATCTGGGACATTCCTGGTCGTCGTTTGCAGGCCAGGGTCCCACCTGTACAAAATGTAGGTAAATTGAAGGCAGTATTGCATGCGGAGTGGTGGTAATTGCCTCAGGATCGTATCTGCATGTTCACTGGTGGCATGAGGAGTGGTGGTAATTGCCTCAGGATCGTATCTGCATGTTCACTGGTGGCATGAGGAGTGGTGGTAATTGCCTCAGGATCGTATCTGCATGTTCACTGGTGGCATGAGGAGTGGTGGTAATTGCCTCAGGATCGTATCTGCATGTTCACTGGTGGCATGAGGAGTGGTGGTAATTGCCTCAGGATCGTATCTGCATGTTCACTGGTGGCATGAGGAGTGGTGGTAATTGCCTCAGGATCGTATCTGCATGTTCACTGGTGGCATGAGGAGTGGTGGTAATTGCCTCAGGATCGTATCTGCATGTTCACTGGTGGCATGAGGAGTGGTGGTAATTGCCTCAAGAACGCATCTGCATGTTCACTGGTGGAATGAGGAGTGGTGGTAATTGCCTCAGGATCGTATCTGCATGTTCACTGGTGGCATGAGGAGTGGTGGTACTTGCCTCAGGATCGTATCTGCATGTTCACTGGTGGCATGAGGAGTGGTGGTAATTGCCTCAGGAACGTATCTGCATGTTCACTGGTGGCATGAGGAGTGGTGGTAATTGCCTCAGGATCGTATCTGCATGTTCACTGGTGGAATGAGGAGTGGTGGTACTTGCCTCAGGATCGTATCTGCATGTTCACAGGTGGCATGAGGAGTGGTGGTAATTGCCCCAGGAACGTATCTGCATGTTCACTGGTGGCATGAGGAGTGGTAGTAATTGCCTCAAGAACGTATCTGCATGTTCACAGGTGGCATGAGGAGTGGTGGTAATTGCCCCAGGATCGTATCTGCATGTTCACTGGTGGCATGAGGAGTGGTGGTTCTTGCCTCAGGATCGTATCTGCATGTTCACAGGTGGCATGAGGAGTGGTGGTAATTGCCCCAGGATCGTATCTGCATGTTCACAGGTGGCATGAGGAGTGGTGGTTCTTGCCTCAAGAACGTATCTGCATGTTCACAGGAGGCATGAGGAGTGGTGGTACTTGCCTCAGGATCGTATCTGCATGTTCACTGGTGGCATGAGGAGTGGTGGTACTTGCCTCAGGATCGTATCTGCATGTTCACTGGTGCAATGAGGAGTGGTGGTAATTGCCTCAGGATCGTATCTGCATGTTCACTGGTGGCATGAGGAGTGGTGGTAATTGAAAAGGATCCTGTCTTCCAGACACGTGGCGGATCCATGAGACGCCTGTCTTCCAGACACGTGGCGGATCCATGAGACGCTGATGCCAAACACGTTGGTAGATTTCAAGGAGCCTGTACATACAACGGGACCCGGCACTATCTCAGGACAATACTTATCTAATGAACTGCTTTTCCACAAAATCAACAATGTTGGCACTTGTCACGTACAAAGCATATACATTAACATATTGCCTTCATTTCGTTGTGTTTCTGTAGTCAGTTATTCAGTCTTCCATCAGATAGTCAGGCATTACTGCCCTTCTAGAAGTATGAAATATCGCACACCTTTTTATTTTCATGTCACTCTTTTAAAACAAGGGGATGCTTACTAAGGTTCCACGTGCATATACGCAGTGTTTGCAACACTCTAATTTGCCACTTGACCATCAAAATCTACACGTCTGAATGAAATCTGCAGGCCCATTTGTTAAAGTCAAACCAATAAAGACAAAATAGACTACACTGTACGCAATTTTACACTGTTTAATTCTGTCATTATATGGAATGACATCAAATTCCAGTTTAAAAAATATATTGACAGATAATTTACTGAAGACCACAAGGGCCTGCAAATATTAGAAACTGCCGGTCCGATACAATAACAACTGGCGCTGGGCCTCCGGGCCGGCGATTATTTCGAATGCTGTGCATACGTGATACTTTCGTCTTCATGTATGATGTTATAATCGTGCGTAGTGCTACTCAGACGACTAAACTGGAACATTTTTCTGGTGTAGTGTGGTAGTTGGTGTGGTAGCCAAATTTTGGTTTCTAGTCTTCTTTAATCCAAGTATCATCAGAATGGTTGCGTATTTGAAATTTTGTGGCTGACTGCATGTACCCAGGTAGTGTGTCCCCAGGTACCCCACCCAGGCGCAGCGATGACTTAGCACAACATCACTGGTCGCATGGAACTCAGGGTAGGATAGTGTGTGCTCAGATACCCTCACATCCAGATAGAGTGTGCACAGTTACTCTCCCACCCAGACACCCTTCTGGGCTGTTTACATGGCTATTCATCTATTATTATTTTTTAATTTTTAATTTCATTACTTTCTCTTTTTTTCGGAGGAGAGAGAGAGAGAGAGAGAGAGAGAGAGAAAGAGAGAGAGAGGAGAGAGAGAGAGAGAGAGAGAGAGAGAGAGAGAGAGAGAGAGAGAGCTGGAGGAGAGAGAGAGAGAGCTGAGGGCGGGTTCACAGGGCCAGATTCTACTTATGGGGTGGAAAATATTATTGATAATCCATCGAACATACCATTTGTAGGTCTTCAGGCTGTGCTAACAAGATGGTTTGTATCCCATGAAGATATGAAGATCGACTCAGTGGTCTCTATTATGGACCCTACATACACTTGGTAAAAAATTATATTATCTACAGACTCTTAAAATTTACATTGTCTCTGATATAATTAAACAATAACTCATATTCTATTGTCATCAATTCTACCGCCGTGATATTGCTGGAATATTGCTAAAAGCGGCGTAAAACTAAACTCACTCAGTCAGTCATCAATTCTCCCAGTGCGGTACTGGTATTTCATCCTTGTAATATTTGTTTGTGACCCTTATATAACACTATTACTATACAGTAATATAATTTTGTATTATTACACCGTTTTCTCACCTGCCGATGTAATATGACCTTAACTACGAAACGACCTTTTAGAAATTTGTGACCCACAATCCAACTTTTCAACTCTGAATTTTGACCCTCGTCGGCGTGGTGTTATTTGCTTCAGTGTCAAGAAAGTAGAGGTCATGGCCAGTATCAGGAAGGCTGCAGTGGTAAGCTCCGATAACTTTTTATACTTTAGCAAGTATCATGGATTGTTGACAGTTTCCACTCATATAAATCAAGAGTATTTTGTCATTATTAGCCATGGGTGGGGTTAAGAAGCTCCGCGCAGCGATACCGCGTCCACTGCGCTATGCATTTAGAGTAGCACGCGTCGAAGAGGAGCTGACATTAACCGCATCTGGCATAAGCTGGGCCCCGTCTCGCATACCTAGCTTTGTCGAACGTTAGCGCGCGCAAAGGGAGCCGGGAACCAGCTTACATCTGGCATTGATCGAGATGGAAAACTTGCGTTAAAACACCCCCCAAAACCCAAACTTGTCAGGTCATAAGAACTTCTCTAGAGGTTGTGTGAGCTTCATGTTCTGAAAAAAAGTCGTTTCTGCCACTTACGTTTGTTGACAGTGTTAGATTTGAGGTCGGATTATAACCTTGAGTTCGGATTATAAAGGGCTACTGATCCGGAACAATTGTCCGGGACAATTTAAACAATTTAAAGTTTAATTTCATCTCCCAGTGAATGAGAGTACTACGATTGAAAGTAGACTGATTCTGTTGAATACTACAACAAATGAAACAAAACAAAATGCAGACATTCAAATAAAGATTTAGTGTATAAATAATATCCTCACTAGCTATTCTCAAAATGCTCGTAGCCATACAAACTTCTTAATCCCATATGATCAAAGTTAAGAATTCTTAGGGCTACGAATGTTTCGAGAATTGCTAGCCAGATGGCTACTTTAATTTGTTAGTTTTCTGTCTGCATTAGTAGACCTACATACATATCAACATATTATCAGTTAAACCTTTGATCCATGTGTTTTTTTAACTCGTGAAATGAGTCCTCTTTCTTCCAAGTGCCTATTACATAGCACGCATTATACTTACCACATAAGACCTGAATTTATAAGGCTGAGTAACTGCCCAAGACACGAGAAATGTTAGATGGAACCTTTGTCAGTTAATCTGAGTTACCACTGATTATGCTGGTTATGAATTCATTAACGTAGTGAATGATGACAAATGAGCAGGTGTAGGTTTATGCCACCAAGCATGGATGAGGACAAGGTAGTAGTATGGTTGTATTGTATGTTATTTAGTTGCTAAAATGTCGCCACTGTTTTAAGCATACCGACGGAACTTCTTAGTAGCATATATAATGCATGCAAGCATTTGCTGTGTGCTACAGTAAAAACTTGTAGGAAAATATTCATGTAGGTGTGTGTTTTTTCAAATTATAGCAATGGCAAAATGGGATTGAATACATTTACAGCTTCAAATATATCAGATTTGTGTTTTTAATATTATAGGTCAATTGAGATGACATGATTAAATAACATGATTAAAAATGAAGATACGAAACACTGAAATGTGATCAACATCAGATCAGTCAACACACCATCGATGCATCAGAAATCTGAAAATGCTTGTACTGCTGGGTAATTGATCAAAATCAGATCCTTTTATTTGGAAATATCCCTGAAGGTTAGAGACGGACTCTGTCTAACACCAGGGTACAGGTGAACCTAGTCAAACCAGGGTTCAGTTGACCTATTCTAACTGAGTTACAATTGACTTATTCTAACCTAAGACCTGAGGGTCCGAGGTGGACCCAGTATAACATGGGGTACTGTGGACCTAGACTGAGGTAAGATGTGTTCTGTGTTCCAGGTGACGGGGTCCAACAAGGGCATTGGGTTTGCTGTTGTGAGAGGGCTGTGTAAAAGCTTTGATGGTGATGTCTTCCTGACAGGTAACTAGTCCAATGTATGTCATGTAGGGCTGGTTGTCGATGTAACTTATAGAGATCGATAATCGCTAAGTAACTCAGTCCAGTGTTTTTTCTGTCGGGCAAGCAAATTTGTATATCACGCTGTACCAGTGTCCAGTTGACTTTCCAATGTTAATTGTGTTGTTTATTTAAAAAATGAACAGAAAAATCGGCCGGTATAGTGGAAAAATTATCAGGGCAAGTGAGTTTACATGTTCCACTGTACCGGAGGACACTAGCAATTTTAGAGTTATTTCCACCCCTGTTTGAGCAAACATGCCAGAAATGTGTGAAAGAAGTCAGCGTATTTCAGGTCACTGGTGAATGGTGACATTTATGCATTGGTTACCACCAAAAACAGTGTCCTGAACATACGTTAGAAGCAGTGCATGAATAAAGACATAAATGTGTTTACTGTGTGTGTAAGTTACATCTTTGTTTCATGTCAGTAGTTATTGTATGATATTATTGATGACCATTATATATTGAATTCTCATTGGCGATATATTTTATAAGCAATCGTTTTAGCCAGCCCTCATTTCCAGTGGATTTCTCAACCAGGCCCTGTTGTCTCCAAGAACGCCATCTTCTCTCATGGGTTTCTTATAAAGACACCAGTATGGTGGTGTGTAACCAGGATTGAAGGCTGGTGTTAAGATGTTTCATTATATTTCAAACATAGCAATGTGTTGGTGTGTGAGAGAAATATGTGGTCATGTGCATAGAGCTCAGGTCACAAATCAGTTGAAGTTATGCAGCATTGGGTGTAGAGAGTCCTTGGATGGGTGACCATGTTTGGCAGCTTGATTCCTGAGAGTTTCTAGGACTTCAGTCCACTTCAGTGGATGGAGACCATCAAGTGTGCTTGAATGTCATATGTAGATTCTGTTATTGAGGACAGTTGTCTAAGGTTGCACATTTTGAATCTCTCTATTTTTGCAAGAATCCCAAGAATTACATAGTTGTGAGTTCGGATCCAAATTAACTCTAATGATGAGCGAAGGTTAGTCAGCGCCATGCCGAGTTTCAAGGTTATATCCATCTTCATATTGTTGTACCTTGCAGCTCGGGATGAAGGTCGTGGCCAGGCCGCCATTGCTGACCTAAACAAGGAAGGCCTCCAGCCCAAGTTCCATCAACTGGACATCAATGACCAGTCAAGCATCGAACGGCTGAAGTCCTTCCTACTGTCCACTTACGGGGGATTAGATGTTCTGGTCAACAATGCTGGAATTGCATACAGGGTAAAATAATATACTTCTGTGACAAGTCAAAAAAATGAGCAGAGCGCTTTGATCTTTTGAAAATGGACTTGAGGAAGGTGCTGTAACCAAAGACTTGCAGAAAAAAGCTTAACCCCCATTTGCAGAAGATATCTCATGCCCAGGTCACACCCTTTGGATTTTGCAAGTATGTGATTGTGTTTCTGATGCACCTCCTCCACAAATGGCAGCCTCTCCTCCTCAGTCCAATTTCGCCTCCTCTTGACCAATCAAGAAATAAGATCGGTGCTCCTTCCATCTTGTTGACACAATTTGCAGATAATGAAGCATTTAAATTGGAAATGGAAGTCGAAATCCATGCCAAAGCTGCTTACCTTGTGTTGATTAAGTAAACTGTGATCATTCTCAGATGCTCAGTCAGAAAGCTGTTTTAGAGTTGTTTTTACGCGTTTTAAGTACAGCTAAAGTTACAGAATCATGATACTATGGTATGCCTTTTACTGGTTTTGAGAAATTGTACTGTTCATGTCACGGGAGGACTGTAAATCTTTTCAGAGGATGACTGTAAATGTTTCCTATTCCAGAATGCTGACCCAGCACCGTTTGCTGAGCAAGCTGAATTTACCTGTAAAACCAACTTCTGGGCCACCCTGCTTACTTCTCGTATACTGTTCCCTCTCCTCAGACCACATGCCAGGTACTGGTAGATACATAGACAAGTACCTGGTGACATCAGACACTGGTGGATGCATAGACAAGCACCTGGTCACATCAGACACTGGTGGATGCATAGACAAGCACCTGGTGACATCAGACACTGGTAGATACATAGACAAGCACCTGGTCACATCAGACATTGGTAGATGCATAGACAAGCACCTGGTCACATCAGACACTGGTGGATGCATAGACAAGCACCTGGTCACATCAGACACTGGTAGATACATAGACAAGCACCTGGTCACATCAGACATTGTTACATGCAGTAGACAAGCACCTGGTCACATCAGACACTGTTACATGCAGTAGACAAGCACCTGGTCACATCAGACACTGGTAGATACATAGACAAGCACCTGGTCACATCAGACATTGGTAGATACATAGACAAGCACCTGGTCACATCAGACACTGGTAGATACATAGACAAGCACCTGGTCACATCAGACACTGGTGGATGCATAGACAAGCACCTGGTGACATCAGACACTGGTGGATGCATAGACAAGCACCTGGTCACATCAGACACTGGTGGATGCATTAGACAAGCACCTGGTCACATCAGACACTGGTAGATACATAGACAAGCACCTGGTCACATCAGACACTGGTGGATGCAGTAGACAAGCACCTGGTCACATCAGACACTGGTAGATACATAGACAAGCACCTGGTCACATCAGACACTGGTGGATGCATAGACAAGCACCTGGTCACATCAGACACTGGTGGATGCATTAGACAAGCACCTGGTCACATCAGACACTGGTGGATGCATAGACAAGCACCTGGTCACATCAGACACTGGTAGATACATAGACAAGCACCTGGTCACATCAGACACTGGTGGATGCATAGACAAGCACCTGGTCACATCAGACACTGGTGGATGCATTAGACAAGCACCTGGTGACATCAGACACTGGTAGATACATTAGACAAGCACCTGGTCACATCAGACACTGGTAGATACATAGACAAGCACCTGGTCACATCAGACACTGGTGGATGCATAGACAAGCACCTGGTCACATCAGACACTGGTAGATACATAGACAAGCACCTGGTCACATCAGACACTGGTGGATGCATTAGACAAGCACCTGGTGACATCAGACACTGGTAGATACATAAACAAGCACCTGGTCACATCAGACACTGGTAGATACATAGACAAGCACCTGGTGACATCAGACATTGTTACATGTAGTAGACAAGCACCTGGTGACATCAGACACTGGTGGATGCAGTAGACAAGTACCTGGTCACATCAGACACTGATAGATACTTAGACAAGTACCTGGTAACATCACACAGTGGTAGATACATAGACAAGTACCTGGTCACATCAGACACTGGTGGATGCATTAGACAAGCACCTGGTGACATCAGACACTGGTGGATGCAGTAGACAAGTACCTGGTTACATCAGACACTGGTGGATGCATTAGACAAGCACCTGGTGACATCAGACATTGTTACATGCAGTAGAGAAGCACCTGGTCACATCAGACACTGGTGGATGCATTAGACAAGTACCTGGTGACATCAGACATTGTTGGATGCAGTAGACAAGCACCTGGTGACATCAGACATTGGTACATGCATTAGACAAGCACCTGGTGACATCAGACATTGTTACATGTAGTAGACAAGCACCTGGTCACATCAGACATTGTTACATGCAGTAGACAAGTACCTGGTGACATCAGACATTGTTACATGCAGTAGACAAGCACCTGGTCACATCAGACATTGGTTGCATGCATTAGACAAGCACCTGGTCACATCAGACATTGGTTACATGCAGTAGACAAGCACCTGGTCACATCAGACATTGGTGGATGCATTAGACCTCGGTCAAGCACCTTGTCACATCAGACAACACCTGGTCACATCAGACATTGTTACATAGTAGACAAGCACCTGGTCACATCAGACACTGGTGGATGCATAGACAAAGGACCTGGTCACATCAGACATTGGTGGATGCATTAGACAAGCACCTGGTGACATCAGACATTGTTACATACAGTAGACAAGCACCTGGTGACATCAGACATTGTTACATGTAGTAGACAAGCACCTGGTCACATCAGACACTGGTGGATGCAGTAGACAAGCACCTGGTCACATCAGACACTGGTAGATACATAGACAAGCACCTGGTCACATCAGACACTGGTGGATGCATTAGACAAGCACCTGGTGACATCAGACACTGGTAGATACATAAACAAGCACCTGGTCACATCAGACACTGGTAGATACATAGACAAGCACCTGGTGACATCAGACATTGTTACATGTAGTAGACAAGCACCTGGTCACATCAGACATCAGACATGGATGCATGTAGACAAGTACCTGGTCACATCAGACACTGATAGATACTTAGACAAGTACCTGGTAACATCACACAGTGGTAGATACATAGACAAGTACCTGGTCACATCAGACACTGGTGGATGCATTAGACAAGCACCTGGTCACATCAGACACTGGTGGATGCAGTAGACAAGTACCTGGTGACACAATCAGACACTGGTGGATGCATTAGACAAGCACCTGGTGACATCAGACATTGGTTGATGCATTAGAGAAGCACCTGGTCACATCAGACACTGGTGGATGCATTAGACAAGCACCTGGTGACATCAGACATTGTTACATGCAGTAGACAAGCACCTGGTGACATCAGACACTGGTGGATGCATTAGACAAGCACCTGGTCACATCAGACACTGGTAGATGCATTAGACAAGCACCTGGTCACATCAGACACTGGTAGATACATAGACAAGTACCTGGTCACATCAGACATTGTTACATGTAGTAGACAAGCACCTGGTCACATCAGACATTGGTGGATGCAGTAGACAAGCACCTGGTCACATCAGACACTGGTGGATGCATTAGACAAGCACCTGGTGACATCAGACACTGGTGGATGCATTAGACAAGCACCTGGTGACATCAGACATTGGTAGATGCATTAGACAAGCACCTGGTGACATCAGACATTGTTACATGTAGTAGACAAGCACCTGGTGACATCAGACATTGGTGGATGCATTAGACAAGCACCTGGTGACATCAGACACTGGTGGATGCATTAGACAAGTACCTGGTGACATCAGACACTCGTGGATGCATTAGACAAGCACCTGGTGACATCAGACATTGTTACATGCAGTAGACAAGCACCTGGTCACATCAGACACTGGTAGATACATAGACAAGCACCTGGTCACATCAGACATTGTTACATGCAGTAGACAAGCACCTGGTCACATGAGACACTGGTATACGTAGATGCAGTTGACAAGCACCTGGTGGAATCAAACACTAGTAGATGCATAGACAAGTACCTGCTCATATCAGACATCTGTTCTATCAGGGTGTATTCACAATGTTCTGAAGAATGTAAGTTTATTCAGTGTCATATTACTTGGCAGCCCAGCAGATAAGTGCAGTTTTTTCACTGAATTGTGCACTTTGTGTTACAAACATGAAATTTTGCATGATTGTAGCTTATACCCTTCTTATTAAATAAAGATAGAGAGGCCTCGCAGATTTTTTATATTTTTCATAATATTTGGGGTAAAAGTTATTTTATTTATGTGTATACTTATTTTATGGGTAGTCATGATATATATTATATTCACTTCTGTAGACCACCATTAAAGATAAAATAGATGTATAGATGGAAAATGATCAGCTATAAATTTCCTACAATTTGATATATGACTTATGAGAATTGGAGAATGTTAAAAGAAGTTATGATGAAAATAGTAGAAAAATGATTATTTTTCACTTTTTCCCACAAAACTATGAACAATATAAAAAATCTGCGAGGCCTCTCGATCTTTATTTAATAAGAAGTGTATAAGCTACAATCATGCCAAATTTCATGCTTGTAACACAAAGTGCACAATTTGGTCACTTATCTGCTGGACTAGTAGCATGAGTACAATATGCACCAGGACTGAACATCGGCACTTTAGTCCACTAGTCAGTGAGGTATGAAACACTTAAAGGGTTTGTTATTTTGTGTCAACACCTCTACCAGTAGCCTAGGAAACCTGCAGGGATGGATACTGAGTATGGGGATGAGCAAGGAGAGTATGAACCATCTGGGGATCCGGGGGCTACAATATACCTGGTAGTAGTGGTCAACAAAGGTCATTAAATGGTGGTCACTTGGTTAAATACATCATACTCCAGTGTTGGTAAGGATTTGATCAGTGTTTGTTTGATCCTGACTCATGATCAAACAGCTGCAGTATTGCTGAAGGAAATTATATTCAATACATAACCTAATCCTGCCATTACTCTGGACAAGGCTGCAGGTCCAAGAGAGGTGAAACTTTGTTCTTTTCCATATGTTTACTTTACTCCTGTAATCCTGGGAGGGGCATATACCTACTGTGAAACATGCTGATTATGTTATGCCAGGGCTGTTTCTGTGTCCAGCGTGCTAGCTTACACAGCTATCGATCAGTGTTCCCCTGCCGTTCAAGGTCGCTTCAAGGACCCTACCCTCACAATGGAAGGACTGGAGAAGATCATGCAAGAGTTTGTAGAGTAAGTCAGCTATGTATGTACTCAACAGTGAATCAATGGCAACAGTGGCTCTGAATATTTTCATGTTGATTATATTGTTTGTCATCGTATAACTGGAATATTGTGTATTGAAGCTTTAAACAAAACAAATAAATAAACAATGACAACAGTAGCTCGTAATTTCTTATTGAATATATTGTATTCTTTCAGTACTTAACCGAAAATGATTTTTTTTAAGACTTGATATGTCCAGCGTTTTCTGACCATAAAATCGAGCTGAAACTGTTTTCAAATATTTTTGGTTTTAGAAAGCCATGTGTCTTTAGTATGGCAGTGTGATATATGTCATAGTCATTTTAGACTTTCTGCTCTGTAAGCTGTGAACAACAATGTTTTGAAGTGACTAAGAGGGTTGGAGTTTGAGGCCAACTTCCTAGAATAGAAATATATAAAATCTTATGAAATATCACAACCATAAACAAACTGGGTGTGAAGTCCATGACATTATGACATCAGTGTGTAATATGATGAACATGGATGATGTGGTTGTTCATTGGCAAGCCAACTACTGGAATAAACAGACATGTTAGTCCATATCGGCGTTACCGATATTGTGTCAGGAATAAGTTTGGTTTACAGCACTTTCATTGATGTATTGTACATTGTTAGTGCTGCGAAGGCAGGTAGACATCTTGAAGAGGGGTTTCCAAAGTCAGCGTATGGTACCTCCAAGATCGGGAAGAACTTCATGACTGTCATTCAGGATAGAGACATCAGGAAGGACCCGAGAGAGGACATTGTCATCAACTCAGTAAGTGAATTAGTATAATCAGATCTCTTACTTAGATGCAATACCTCCCTCCATACATGAACTTCAGTGACAATCGATATTTACAATCGAGCTTACAGAAATCAGTGATCTTTGTACTTTGTAGGCTCTCATTCACAGTATTGACAAAGGTGAGCTCTCTACCTCCTGTAGAATATTACGATGATGATGACGATGATGATGATGATGATGATGATGATGATGTCTTTTTGTCCCATTCCCAGTGCTGTCCTGGCCATGTACAAACAGATATGTCGAGTCATACAGGCCCAAGGAATATTGATGAAGGTGAGTTATGGAGACTTGTTGCAAGAATATAACAATGTACAAAATACATGGCTCATCTTCCTGTGTTAATCCACACATGAACTAATACAAGGATACCTGGGGCTTGTTGCCTCAGTGCTTGTGGTCCATTCCACAAGGTGACATGGCACTACGATGATCGTAATGCTCATACTTTAACATAGATTTATGACTGTCATAGCACTAGGATGATCGTAATGTCCATACTTTAACATAGACTTATGACTGTCGTAGCACTACGATGATCGTAATGCCCATACTTTAACATAGATTTATGACTGTCATAGCACTACGATGATCATAATGCTCATACTTTAACATAGAGTTATGACTGTTGTAGCACTAGGATGATCGTAATGCCCATACTTTAATAGACTTATGACTGTTGTAGCACTAGGATGATCGTAATGCCCATACTTTAATAGACCTATACTGTTGTTTTACCGCATGATCGTGAATGCCTCATACTTTTACATAGATTTATGACTGTTGTAGCACTAGGATGATCGTAATACCCATACTTTAATAGACCTATGAATGTTGTAGCACTACGATGATCATAATGCTCATACTTTTACATAGAGTTATGACTGTTGTTGCACTAGGATGATCGTAATGCCCATACTTTTACATAGATTTATGACTGTTGTAGCACTAGGATGATCGTAATACCCATACTTTAATAGACCTATGACTGTTGTAGCACTACGATGATCATAATGCCCATACTTTAACATAGATTTATGACTGTCATAGCACTACGATGATCATAATGCTCATACTTTTACATAGAGTTATGACTGTCATAGCACTACGATGATCATAATGCCCATACTTTTACATAGAGTTATGACTGTCATAGCACTACGATGATCATAATGCCCATACTTTAACATAGAGTTATGACTGTCATAGCACTACGATGATTGTAATGCCCGGTATACTTTTAACATAGAGTTATGACTGTCGAGCACCTAACGGATGATCATAATGCCCATACTTTAACATAGAGTTATGACTGTCGTAGCACTCACGATGATCGTAATGCCCATACTTTAACATAGAGTTATGACTGTCGTAGCACCACGATGATAATAATGCCCCATACTTTTAACATGTAGACTTATGACTGTGCATTAGCACTAATACGACATGATCATAATGCCCATACATAGAGTTATGACTGTCATAGCACTCACGATGATCATAATGCCCATACTTTAACATAGGAGTTATGACTGTTGTAGCACTAGGATGATCGTAATGCCCATACTTTAAATAGAGAGTTATGACTGTCTTAGCACTACGATGATCATAATGCCCATACTTTAACATAGAGTTATGACTGTTGTAGCACTAGGATGATCATAATGCCCATGCTTTTACATAGATTTATGACTGTCATAGCACAACGATGATCATAATGCCCATACTTTACATAGAGTTATGACTGTCATAGCACTGCACGATGATCATAATGCCCATACTTTTACATAGAGTTATGACTGTCACCTAGCACTACGATGATCATAATGCCCATACTTTTTAACATAGAGTTATGACTGTCATAGCACTATGATGATCATAATGCCCATACTTTAACATCATAGCAATTTCCATCATCATTAGCACTAACATGATCATAATGCCCATACTTTAACATAGAGTTATGACTGTCATAGCACTACGATGATCATAATGCCCATACTTTAACATAGAGTTATGACTGTCATAGCACTACGATGATCATAATGCCCATACTTTAACATAGAGTTATGACTGTTGTAGCACTAGGATGATCATAATGCCCATACTTTTAACATAGAGTTATGACTGTCGGTGCAGCACTCATGATGATCATAATGCCCATACTTTTTACATAGAGTTATGACTGTTGTAGCACTCACGATGATCATAATGCCCATACTTTAACATAGAGTTATGACTGTTGTAGCTACTATCGTTGATCATAATGCCCATACTTTAACATAGAGTTATGACTGTCGCCAGCACTAATGCATGATCATAATGCCCATACTTTTAACATAGAGTTATGACTGTAGTAGCACTACGCATGATCATAATGCCCATACTTTTACATAGAGTTATGACTGTCATAGCACTACCGATGATCATAATGCCCATACTTTAACATAGAGTTATGACTGCTAGCACTTTCGATGATCATAATGCCCATACTTTTTACATAGAGTTATGACTGTCATAGCACCACGATGATCATAATGCCCATACTTTAACATAGAGTTATGACTGTCGTAGCATAATTCACGATGATCATAATGCCCATACTTTAACATAGAGTTATGACTACAAGGCAGCACTCACCATGATCATAATGCCCATACTTTAACATAGAGTTATGACTATAGCACTACGATGATCATAATGCCCATACTTTTAACATAGAGTTATGACTGTCATAGCACTACGATGATCATAAATGCCCATACTTTAACATAGAGTTATGACTGTTGTAGCACCAATGATCGATCATAATGCCCATACTTTTAACATAGAGTTATGACTGTCGTAGCACTACGATGATCATAATGCCCATACTTTAACATAGAGTTATGACTGTTGTAGCACTACGATGATCATAATGCCCATACTTTAACATAGATTTATGACTGTTGCAGCGCTACGATGATCATAATGCCCATACTTTAACATAGACTTTATGACTGTTGTAGCACTCGATGATTGTAATGCCCATATTCTTTAACATAGATTTATGACTGTTGTAGCACTAGGATGAGGATGATAAATTAATGCCCATACTTTAATAGACCTATGACTGTCGTAGCACTACGATGATCGTAATGCCCATACTTTAACATAGACTTAAGACTGTCGCAGCTCTACGATGATCGTAAAGTCCATACTTTATCATAGACTTATGACTGTCGAAGCACTATGATGATCGTAATGCCCATACTTTAACATAGAGTTATGACTGTCATAGCACCACGATGATTGTAATGCCCATACTTTAACATTTAAGGATTGACTGTGTATTTCTTTCGTTGCATTGAGGTATGAAACTAAAAACCAATGTGCAAACTGTATGAATCCGCGTACCGCGTTTTCATACCTCAATGCAACGAAAGAAATACACAGTCAATCCTTATAATTAAATACAACAACAAATACTATAGGCTTTCAAAAATATTTTATTTAAACACAATCAAATTCATCTAAACAGATATCTTTGTTACCACCGATTTATCGATTAACATTTTAGGTGTAAGACCGTTGGTAATGGCTGACATGACTCAGGTGACTCATTTACATAAAATGACACACCTACCAAACCATTAGCCAATCAGCATAGAGCACCCCCAAACAGCTGTCAATCAACCAAGCTAACATCGAGGTTTGCGAGCAGAAGCGGAACAAGACACCGCGTGGCGCATGCGGTAGCGCAAAGTTTCAAGTTCAAACATTTGAATTATTACCAGCGAACTGAAAGACACAGTTTGAAAAGTGAGAATTGGAAATGAAGCCGATGACATGAAGTTAGTGGAACTTAGATTGTTAGTGGCAGCAGTATTTACAGCAAGTGGAAAGAGGCTGTGATGTGACTGGGATGCCATGAACTGATATTCCAGCGTGCGCATGCTCTGTCGAGGCAATTACAATGGCGGAAAGCGTCTCGCCATTAATTCTTAGTTTTGAGTAGTCGTTGTGTGGCGACTATAACTACGCCGCGGAACTTTCATTCCTATGGCCACTCATAAACATTATGTGACGAAGTTCAAAGCCAGCGTCACTCATGGCTTGGATTGCTGTATTGGCGAAGGCAATGAGCAGTGTATGACTGACTACATTGGGCATTGCGACATAAGTCAGACATGAAACGAGTGAACTGGTATTTTTTGACTGGGGTTGCTGTATGCCAAATGTTGTGTGCGTCTGGAGAACTAAGTGCATCTTTATTACAGTCGCGAAAAAAAGTGATCCGGCATTTGGGTCACTTTTGTCAAGGAAGCTGGCGAAGTGCATTGACGGGACATTGGTTTATATCATTCGTCGTGCACATCTGTTTGTAAACTTTGCGCTTCATCGCTGCTGAGACCACCCTGGATGTTTTTGTTTTAAGTTTAGGTGGGACAGTGTGACATATTCAACATTGCTATCATCTACACCGCAAATTCAAAGGATGTGGGCGTAAGCTGCTGGTGAAATTCAAGACCACGACTTACAAAATGGATGGCCAAGTCGCACCATACTTTGTACCGGAGGATAACAGGATTGGATGCGAATGCAGATAAGTGCTAATTTTCATCAGATCACTTGTTTCAATGATTGATTTATGTTGTGTGGGGCGTGACAAGCCATGTTGTACATTGTACTTTAATTTGGCATCAAGCATATCATTTGCAGACTTAAACTGCTTATCTCTTACAATGTCAATATCTCTCCCGATATCATTTAAGTGTCTTTCAGGGCAGAACAAACATTTTTTAAAGTGTTCTTGTGATACTACGGCAGCATGTGCAGCCGGCATATTTTCACATCTTGTTTCCTGGTTTTAGGCTGTGCCTCAGTGTAGAAAAATCTCAACTTTGTGTTAAGTTCCTCTGGTGTAATTGTTGAAAAATCCACAGTCCTCCCTCGCCTCGAACAACCAATCTAAATAAACAGAACGAAAACAATATCTAGAAACCTGACTATGACAGACCCAACTATGTAAACTTTGAACTAGGTAACTTTATAGCAAATCATTTTTTTCTCGGTTAGATCTACATAATTTAATCTCATTCTGATAATTGTTCCATTTTTAAAAATACAACTTTGTGCTGATGAGCGGTCTTTCGCTTTGAGAAAAAATATTAGGATGGAATTTGAAAATAATATTTATATGAATTGTGTATATCTACCTTGGAATAGTTTAACACCCCATTTTGTGTTTCTTTTTGTGGATGTTGATTGTCTGTAGTCATCCATTCGAAGTAAATCATTATTTGATAAAGCGTTTGAAACGATGTGTTTGGGATGGCTTATCATCGACTTGCATTGCACTAGTCATCTCGTGATTTGCCGATGTTTTTGTAGATCTGGTTGATGCTGTTATCTCTAACAAACTTTCAATTTCTTCCAGGTCTAAATCATCCAGAAAATCAATGTTATCTGTGCTAAGAGTTGCAACGTTTCGGTAGATTGATCTTCGAAAATCGACTCAAAATTCCCCAGATCGAAACTTCCGTTCTGGAATTGGCCATCTTGTTGGAATGTAAACAAGACAAGTTGCAGACGACCGTTCGTTGACTGCGTGGTAACCACAGTAACCAGTCAAATAATGTATTATGACAAACACTTTTTTATTAAATAAACACTTTATTAACGTTCACGGATAATTTTGAGTTATTTGTTTATGTTAACCACAATGTATCACTTCAATGTTTATCCAAAGTTCATTAAGGTACCCGAGTGCAAGGGAATTCCCTCGCTGTGTAAAGGTATTCCCCGACATTCCTCAGGTCCGAAAGTAGTCCGGTTCGGTGGGCGTGGCTTATTTTTTTAGATTCATTGGGAAATGAAATCAAAAGAAATGTTCCCAGTTAACCAATCAGATTGCCAGAATTTTAATGAACACAATAAAAATTTAATTATAGACCTATGACTGTTGTAGCACTAGGATGATCGTAAAGCCAATAATTTATCATAGACTTATGACTGTTGTAGCACTACGATGATCGTAATGCCCATACTTTAACATAGATTTATGACTGTTGTAGCACAAGGATGATTGTAATACCCATACTTTAATAGACCTATGACTGTCGTAGCACTACGATGATCGTAAAGCCCATACTGTATCATAGACTTATGACTGTCGTAGCACTACGATGATCGTAATGCCCATACTTTAACATAGATTTATGACTGTTGTAGCACTACGATGATCATAATGCCCATACTTTAACATAGAGTTATGACTGTCATAGCACTACGATGATCATAATGCTCATACTTTTACATAGAGTTATGACTGTCATAGCACTACGATGATCATAATGCCCATACTTTTACATAGATTTATGACTGTCATAGCACTACGATGATCATAATGCCCATACTTTAACATAGAGTTATGACTGTCGTGGCACTACGATGACTGTAATGCTCATACTTTAACATAGATTTATGACTGTCATAGCACTAGGATGATCGTAATGCCCATACTTTAACATAGACTTATGACTGCCGTAGCACTTCGATGATCGTAATACCCATACTTTAACATAGACTTATGACTGTCGTAGCACTACGATGATAATGCCCATACTTTAACGTAGATTTATGACTGTCAAAGTGCTACAATGGCTTTGTGGAAAGAAGCCCACATGTAGAATACATCATGGTCCTTCAGTGCTTGTTTCCTCATCTATACTTGAGTTACCCAGTGTTTGTCTATTTTTGTGCACCTGGATGATACCCACATGATCAGTTGCAAATGTTGCTGATGTTGTGAATCACTGCTTTATGTAGATTGACAATAAAACTTGATTGACATGACTGTAATAAAATATAGTTGTCTGTTGCATTATGATTTAAGGATTCATATCCCAGACATATTTGTTCCAGGTGCAGACACCATGGTATATCTGGCACTCTTGCCCCCGAACACCACATCCCCTAAAGGCAACTTCGTTGCTGACAGATCCATTCTGCAGTGGGGATAATTAAAGTATTTTACATGGATAACATGTGCAGGTCTCAGTCAGTGAAACGTTGGAAAGTCTTGTAGATTTGTCTTAATTTTTATAATCCTCTAATTTTGCATAAATTATTCACATTTGAGGAGTAGTTGGTTGTATACTTAGTTTACTTATGCAGTAAGTTCCTTATTGTCTTAGTTGTGCTCATATATCCAGTGTAGCTGTTCTTGATCAAGTGTGAAAACCACCTCTGGACCAATGGGCTGCCAACAAGCTTCCAGTGAGGAAGTGTCGTCTCCACCTCTTTTTGATAGATTATTGTGATTGATTGATTGTTGGTTAGCGCTGCAATATTACAGCTATATTGCGACTGTCTGTAAATAATCGAGTCTTTGTCAGCCATTTTGACAGAAAGACGTTTTCACAGTTTTATCGTGAAAAATACGAGTCTTAAAGTGTGTATAGCTTGAAGAGGTGGAGAAAATAATGAATCTGGCCACAGAAGGTACACGGACATGTCATTTTCAAAGCCTCCTGTATTTGTTATAAAATGTTTACAATGCAAACAGTTGTAGATGTGTCCAGCCTCCAATAATCAATGTCATATATTACATATTATTGAGTTAACCAACATAACAGAAAGTTTATCTCAGCACAATGGGTCCCGCACAATGAACGTTAAGGGACTTTAAAATATAGCGGTATATATAACTACAAAACACACTACATTTTCGACTTGAACCTTATGAAGAGTTTGAAGTTTGATGTCTTTCAGTGGCATTTAGAAGTTGTACATTGATGTCCAAGATATTTTTATGGATTAAACTTCTTTGTAATTTGTCTTCAGTATTGCCAAAATGGCTAACTACAGACCCGTGCCAGTTATATTGGGTCACTTGACGTAATTTGCAAAGACTTACATGTTAATTTAGTGTAGCATAAACAATTTTCATGAATTTAATGTTCTTAAGATCTAAGTCACATTTTGCACATTTGTGAGGAATCATCTTACCTACAATCAAATAATTTCTGTTTAATTTTCCGTTGCTTATTTATTGAATGGCAACCATTTAATCAACATATGTACAGTGGCGTGAACTTCTTTACCATGGCGGCCTGTGGGATTGTGCATTGTGGAACCATACCAAGCTGATAAATATGATGTCATTATAGTTAGATAGTGGTCTAAAAATTGAACTGAAATTATGTGCGCAGAGCAGATATGATTTCACATTTGCCTGTCAAATTTTACAAAGATCCATTCTAAACTCACTTCAGGAAAATTATTTATGCTACACTGAAATAACATGTAGTCTAAGGAAATTAAGTCAAGTGGCTCAGTATAACTGGCACAGGTCTGTAGATCTGCTGTTTACACAGTTTAGTAAACTATTCACTGTCACAGTGTCTGTGACCCAACTGCCCTCCGGTCTGCCAACAGTGGTGATGGGGGGATGGGACAAGATGTCTGATAGATAACAACACTATCTGGATGCCAACCGGTATACCAGTTGGCTTCTCCCAGGGTGCTGGCTACCAACAACCAAGACTCCTTCATTGTGGAGTTCAGCCTGGTGCTCTCCAGGCTCCTATGGTCCAGCCACAACCTTGGAGTAGTAATAGGGAGACAATGCCTGTCTGCCAGTCAAGTTCAGCACAACACCTGCAGCTGATGAGACCACAGGTATGGTTGTATTTTCTCTCTCTTTTTTTTGATGAAAAAAATCGAAACACTATAAGATATTCTTCCATTATCATAAAGTGATACCATTACTGTATTGCCCAATAGGCCTTCTCCTGTGTTCTGCCCCAACTTGACCTACCCAGTCCAGTTCCTCCTCCCCAGTCTCTAGCCCATGTTGACAAGCCAGCTATGTCTACAACAAACAATCCCAAACCCCAAGTCCATCCAAAGCAAAAATCTGAGCTCAAGCCCTGCAAACGCAAGCCCAAAACGTTCAGGCCGAAACCTCAACCACAGCCTCGCATTCCTAAAGAGAAAGTGAGCAAGCATCAGCCTGAGAGCAAGCCCTACTTTGTGCCTCAGCCTCTTGGAGCTAAGTATATCAAAACCCAGAGCAGACCTTTGGGGAACCGTGTCACTAAGCCCTCAGGTGGTAATGGTATCATTAAGTCCTCATGTAAGCTTAGTTTTGCTGAAGAGTTACTGTCTGCTGATCAAGCTTACTTAAAGCCAAAGTCTGTCTTGACCAGGACATTGCCTGTCCCTGATAAGAATGTAAAGGATAAGGTTGTTTCAGCATCAGAACATTGTAGATTAGCGGATACCAATGTCCCAACAGTAAATGTAAATCCTACCAAGTCGATGGACAAAGCTGAGCCTAGCTCTGATGATGAATATGATGTGGAATATCTTTACCTTACTAAACTTATTTTAAGGAAAAAGAGGAAACCCACTGCTGAACCCAGCAAAGAGTCCCCACCCTCACGCAAGAGGAAGTGCCCAGAGGACAACAGTGAGGTGGCCCAAGCTGCAAAACAGACAAGACTGGAGGAGCCCCAGGACGCTCTGGAGCCAGCCCAGGACTCCCTGGAGGACCTGGAAGCTCTCTTGGCTGAGTACAGCTCCAGTCTGTCATCTGGCACCAGGGATTTCTTCTAAATACTGTAAGGTGGAGGGGACAGGTAGGTATAGACTTGTGTATAGTGGCTATCTTCATGTTTATTCAGCAGCAGCATCACAAATGGTTGAAGAGTGAATAGTGATTGGAGGTTTGGGGTTGTTTGTTATGATGTAACTGAAATACATGTTTCTGTTTCTACGTTATGACTACATTTGTTGTTAATAAAATATCTCATTTCAGTTTAAATAGTAGTTATGTTTTATTTTAACAACTGGAGCTGAATTCTGTTGTTAGTGGAGGAACTATTTTAGTGGAGAGTTGTCAATGTTTCCAAACATGAGTTACAACTGGCAATTGTGGGAAGTAAGCAGCATTGCCATGGCAGTGTTATTCAGTATATGCGCTAGTCGCTTTTGTTAACATTGTTTTATATTGTCATCGTATCATTATATATCTGCAAAGAAAGCAGCTTTTATTACCGAGCATTTATTACTGTATCCAAGAGTGAGTTCAAGGCAATATATAGTCCTCTGGTGCAGGACTTATCCTCAAGTACTGCTCTCTGTGTTACTATTTGAGCATATTTCGTACAGTTTGAGTACATGTATCACATTTCCATAGCATTATAGTACTTTTATTGCCTCAGGTATTTAGCAACACAGACTTGAGAGTACCTCAGTATCCCATTCCAAACCAAGAGACATGCATAACCTACGAGTGCCTGTGTGGCCATGGGTGTTCTTTGAGAGTATCAACACAAACATGCAACATATATTGGTTTTCAAACCAATGGGTGAGTGATTTAGGTAATAGGCGAGTTGTCAGCATTGTGGCATGTAAAGTGATCACACCTAGACCAGACAAACCATGATGATACACAACTTCGCAGATAACAGCTTATTCTCCATAAAGTAATAGTCATACCTAGCAGATTATGTAACCAATGCATTCTTACGACAAGAACTGGTGTCTGGATAACGTTTCCTGATCAGGACACGAAAGGTGGGTCACTCTGAGGAACACTTGCAAATAATTTGATAACACATTAAATTAAGCTATATGAGCATTTATTACTGTATCCAAGAGTGAGTTCAAGGCAATACTAACACAATACAGTGTCTGGAGACAACAGATGGCACGTCCATTCGGTTGGTACTCTGGTACAGGACTTATCCTCAGGTATTCCTCTCTTTGTTACTAAGCTACACAAACATTGACTAGATCTGGTACAATGTAAAACCTGTATCATATTTTCATACCTTTAATCATCCCTTTATTCTCCCCTTCCCTCATCTCGTGGCTGCTCTCCGTCTTCCCCTTCTTCCCTCCGTCCTCCTACTTCCTCCATCGTCCCTGCATCCTCACTCCCTCCCTCCTTCCCCTCTCCCCATCCTCCCTGCTTTCCCTTCGTCCCTCCCCTCCTTCCCCACCGGATAACCCCCTTCCCTCCGTTCCCTCTGATGCCTATTTCCTCCATCCCTCCATCCTCCCTGCTCCAATCTCCATCCCCCTTCCCTCTTACGTTCTCCTCTCAGGTCCCCTGATCCACCCTCTTTGCTTTCCCCCTCTGTCATCCATCCTTCCCCCCACCTCCCCATGCCAATCTTTTTCCGTTCTCCCCTCACCTACTTTTCATGCTTTCATTTTCCATCTTGCCAACTTTTTTCCCATGCATCCTCCATCCTCCTACTTCCCTCCACCATCTGACAACCTTCAATCCCTCCCTATTTACGCAATCCTGACTGCTCCCTTTCCATCCTCCCTACTTCCCTCTCCGCTCTCTTCTCCCCTTCAATTCCCCATCCTCCCTCAAATCTGTTCTCCATCCCCTTCAGATCTCCTCCATACCTCCCTCCTGATCGTCCTACTTCCCCTCAATCCTGCCCTACTTCCCCCTCTATCCTCCCCTTCCATTCCTCCTAACCTACACTCCATCCTGACCATTTCCTCCATCCTCCCACTTTCCCCTCTCATTTCTACATCCCTCCCCTCCATCCTCCTACTTCCATCCGTCTGTTTATCCCTCCGTCCTCCCTACTTCTCCATCCCCCTCGTTCTACTTCCATCCTCAATTTCCCTACCATCCTTACTTTCCCCTCAAATCCTCCTACTTCCTCCATCCTCCCCTACCATCCCCTCCATCCTCCTCCTTCCCATTCCCCTCCCTCCTACTTCCCCCTCCATCCTCCCTACTTTCCCCTCCATCCTCCCTGCTCCCCCTCCATCCCTCCCTACTTCCCCTCCATCCTCCCTCCTCCCCCCTCCATCCTCCCTACTTCCCCCTCCATCCTCCCTACTTCCCCTCCATACTTTCCCCCTCCATCCTCCCTACTTCCCTGCCCTTCATCCCTCCTTCCTCCATTCTCCCTACTTCCCCTCCAAATCCTCCCTACTTCCCCTCCATCCTCCTACTTCCCCTCTCCCTCCTTCCCTACTTTTCCCGTTCTCCTCCTCCCTCCATCCTCCCTCCATCCCTCCCTCCTTCCTCCCTCCTTCCATCCTCACTTCCATCCTCCTCCTCCTCATTCCTCCTACCTCCTATCATCCCTCCTACATCCCTCCATCCTCCCTACTTCCCTCCATCCTCCCTCCTCCATCCTATTTCCCTACATTCCCTCCATCCCTCCTACTTCCCCTCCATCCTCCCTACTCCCCATCCTCCCTACTCCCCTCCATCCCTCCTACTTCCCCTCCATCCTCCCTACTTCCCCTTCCATCCTCCTATTTCCCCTCCATCCTCCCTACTTCCTCTCCATCCTCCCTACTTCCCCTCCATCCTCCCTACTTTCCCTCCATCCTCCTACTTCCTCCATCCTCCCTACTCCCCCTCCATTCTCCCTACTCCCCCTCCATCCTCCCTACTTCCCTCCATTCTCCTACTTCCCCTCCATCCTCCCTACTTCCCTCCATCCTCCCTACTTCCCTCCATCCTCCTTCTTCCCTCCATCCTCCCTACTTCCCCTCCATCCTCCCTACTTCCCTCCATCCTCCTATTTCCCCTCCATCCTCCTACTTCCTCCCTCCATCCTCCCTACTTCCCCTCCATCCTCCCTACTTCCCCTCCATCCTCCCTACTTCCCCTCCATCCATCCCTACTTCCCTCCATCCTCCCTACTTCCCCTCCCTCTTCTGCCCTATGTCCTCCTAACTAAAGACCCCCTTCCCCCACTTGTCCCAAACTCACATCACTCCACTTTACTTCGCTCCTCCTCTTCAGATTTCCGAGACCCAGTCCCAACCCGTGTCCCAACACCTTACTTCCCTCCCGTTTCCCAATCTACCCCAACACCTTTCTTACCTCGTATCCTCCTCTTTAACACTTTAATTCCCTCCTCCTCTCCTACTGATATGTCTCCTGTTACCTACTTGTCCCTATTCCTGTCCCACAACCTTACTTCTCTCTTCCTTTCATCCTCCTGTCTCTCCCGTTTCCCAACCTGTCCCAACCCCCGTCCAAACACCTTCTCTCCTCCCTGTTTCCCCTTAACCTGTCCCAACCCCCGTTTAAACACCTTCTCTCCTCCCCTATCTCACTCTGTTCATCGCCTGTCCCTACCCACGTGGCAACACCTTACTTCCTTCCTCTCCTACTGCTATGTCTCCTACCCGTCCCAATACTTTACTTCTCCTCCCCCAAACTCCCAACCCCCATGTTTCCCGTTTCCCTAACCTGTCCCAACCTCCTTCCCAAAACCTTACTCCCCTTCTACTGCTATGTCTCCCGTTTCCTCACCTGTCCCAACTCCTTATTTCCTCTTCTCCTCCTGTGTCTCCCGTTCCCCTACCTGTTCCTACCCCGACCACACCCCCGTTTGGTCTGGACATATCGTCCTCCATTTGTGTCAAGACAACCGTTTGGTTGAGGGGTTAAGGAAAAATCGGTTTCAGTCGACTTGCAGAAATAACACTAAAAGGGTCAGTAGGTGTCATGAGTGGTGATCGATAGGCCAATCATCCATGATTATGTTTACACTAAGTTTTAAACGATTGCATGCGATGGTAGCGTAGCGATCGGCAAAGCAGGCGGGTGAGGTACACCGAAGTGTCCGGCCTTGTCATGATATATTGTGCTGTGAGCGCATTTCGAGTTGGGTGTCATCCTCAAGTGTTTTTTTTAATCTTTAATGTTGGCGGTGACACGAGGGACTGTGTTCTCATCCCACCGTGTGTCCACCTCACCTGCCTCCTATGTCCGTCACTCGGGTTATTCTTCCTTTCCCTTCTCGGACCTGTCTCCCCTTTCTCACCTGCCCCAATGGCCGTCTTCACGTTACACTTCCTCCCCTTTTCAGCCTGTCTCCCTTTTCTCTGCCCCTACATCCGCCCTCGTTATGCTTCCTTCCCCTTCTCACCGCCCTGCGTCCTTCCTCGTTATACTTCGCTCAGCTATTTCTCGACCTGTCTCCTTTTCTCACCTGTCCTGGTCAGGTCCTCAGGCTTTGCTTCCTTCCTTCTCAGCCTGTCTTCGCTGCTCTCTTGCCTAGAA